TGATGCTGATGAGGATGATGATGATGAGGATGATGAGGCGATGATGATGATACTGCTGATGATGATGAGGATGATGCTGATGAGGATGATGGATGATGGATGATGATGATGATGATGAGGATGATGCTGATGATGATGATGACGAGGATGATGGATGATTATGATGATGATGCTGATGATGATGATGATGGCGGTGATGATGATCAGGGTGATGGATGATGATGATGATGAGGACGAGGATGATGATGATGAGGGTGGTGATGATGAGGATGATGGATGATGATGACGATGATGATGAGGATGATGGATGATGATGATGATGATGATGATGATGATGAGGGTGGTGATGATGAGGATGATGGATGATGGATGATGCTGATGAGGATGATGATGCTGATGATTATGATGATGAGGATGATGATGAAGATGATGATGATGCGGATGATGCTGATGAGGATGATGGATGATGGATGATGATGATGATGAGGATGGTGGTGATGATGATGAGGATGATGGATGATGGATGATGATGATGATGATGGTGAGGATGAGGATGAGGATGATGATGAGGATGATGATGATGAGGATGATGATGATGAAGATGAAGATGAAGATGATGAGGATGATGCTGATGAGGATGATGGATGATGGATGATGATGATGACGATGATGATGACGATGAGGATGATGGATGATGATGATGATGATGATGATGGTGGTGATGATGATGAGGATGATGGATGGTGGATGATGATGATGATGAGGACGAGGATGAGGATGATGATGATGAGGATGATGGATGATGATGATGAGGATGATGGATGATGAGGATGATGAGGATGACGGATTATGATGATGGTGGTGATGATGATGATGATGATGATGAGGGTGCTGATGATGAGGATGATGGATGATGGATGATGCTGATGAGGATGATGATGATGCTGATGATGATGATGAGGATGATGATAATGATGATGATGAAGATGATGATGATGATGATGATGATGAGGATGATGCTGATGATAATGATGGATGATGGGTGATGATGATGATGATGATGGTGGTGATGATGATGAGGATGATGGATGATGATGATGATGATGATGATGCTGAGGATCCGGATGAGAATGAGGATGATGATGATGATGATGAGGATGATGGATGACGATGGTGATGATGATGATGATGAGGGTGGTGATGATGAGGATGATGGATGATGAATGATGCGGATGAGGATGATGATGCTGATGATGATGATGAGGATGATGATGATGATGAAGATGATGAAGATTATGCTGATGATGAGGATGATGCTGATGAGGATGATGGGTGATGGATGATGATGATGATGAGGATGATGATGATGATCATGAGGATGATGATGATGATGATGATGAGGATGATGAGGATGAAGATGATGCTGATGAGGATGGTGCTGATGAGGATGATGGATGATGGATGATATTGATGATGATGATGAGGATGATGGATGATGATGGTGGTGACGATGATGATGATGGTGGTTATGATGATGAGCATGATGGATGGTGGATGATGCATGATGATGATGAGGATGAGGATGATGATGATGAGGATGATGATGATGAGGATGATGGATGATGATGATGATAATGATGATGAGGGTGGTGATGATGAGGATGCTGGATGATGGATGATGCTGATGAGGATGAGGATGATGCTGATGATGATGACGGGGATGATGATTATGAAGATGATGATGATGAGGATGATGCTGATGAGGATGATGGATGATGGATGATGGATGATGATGATGATGATGATGGTGATGATGATGAGGATGATGATGATGATGATGATGATGAGGATGAGGATGATGGATTATGATGATGATGATAATGATGATGGTGGTGGCGATGCTGATGATGATGATGATGGATGATGGATGATGGTGATGAGGATGCGGATGAGGATGATGATGATGATGGTGAGGATAATGGGTGATGATGATGATGAGGGTGGTGATGATGAGGATGATGGATGATGGATGATGATGATGGTGGTGATGATGATGATGAGGATGAGGATGATGATGATGATGATGATGATGATGATGATGATCAGGATGAGGATGATGGATGATGGATGATGGATGATGATGATGATGATGATGATGATGATGGTGGTGGTGGTGGTGATGATGATGATGATAATGATGGATGATGGATGGTGATGATGATGATGATGATGAGGATGAGGATGATGATGATGATGAGGATGATGAGGATGACGGATGATGCTGATGGTGGTGATGATGATGATGATGATGATGATGATGATGGTGATGGTGGTGGTGGCGATGATGATGATGATGATGATGATGATGATGATGATGATGATGATGATGATGATGAGGATGAGGATGAGGATGAGGATGAGGATGAGGATGATGTTGCTGCTGCTGCTGATGATGATGATGATGATTATGATGATGATGAGGAGGAGGAGGAGGAGGAGGAGGAGGTGGAGGAGGAGGAGGAGGAGGAGGGGGGGCAGTAGCAGGGGACCCCAAGATACCCCCCGCCCCCCCCTCCCGAAGGCTCCAAGAGGCTCCCCCTGACACCGCCAAAAGGCCAGAAGATGTTCCGAGGGCCCCCTCTGGCCCGCAACGCCGTTCTTTTTAGGCTGTCGAGGGCGGTCGGGGGTCCCTGGGGCGTTGTCATTTCAGTACCAGCCCTCTGTGTCTCCCTGGAACGCTTGAGGCCCCCCCCCTGGGTGAATGCTATGTGGGGAGGGTCAAAAGCCCCGAGGGGCCAAGAAGGCTTGAAGAGGGTCTCATGAGGGCCTGGGCACCAAGAAGAGCCCACGATGCAGTCGAGAGGGTCCAAGATGGCAGCGAGAGACGCCAAGACGGCCGTACGAGGCCCCAAGAAGTCGGGGGCAGCGTGCAGACGACAGGGCGACCCCTCCAAGTGGGCCCCAAGGTTTGCCAAGGACCCCTCCCTGCAGTCACATGAATTTGGTTGGTCGTGATTCGTTTGATCACACGTCAACGTATCGGAGCCGCGCACGCACGCAAGCGCAGACGCACACGCGCGCACGCGCACGCGCGCACGCGCGCGCGCGCCCTCAGGATTGGGCTCGGTCTCTGGCTCGGGCACGGGCTCGGGTTCGGGCTTGTCCTTAAGCTCGCGCTCGGGCTCGGGCTCGCGCGCGGGCACGGGTTGTAGTGGCCCTGTGGGTTGTCCCGGTGGTTGTCCCCTGGTTGGTCCTGCGGTTGCCCCGCGGGCTGTCCCGTGGGATGTTCCGCGGCTGTCCTTTGGGTTGTCCCCTGGGTTGTCCCGCGGTGGCCCCGCGAGTATCCGATGGTTCCACATGCGCGTACATAGGCGAATTATTGTGTTCGGAGTGCACCAACTATACACCAACACCGATCCTATGTGTGCATTGGTAAACGCACGCGCGCACGCAGACAACACGTTGAATTGCATGTGCGCGTGCGTGCATGTTGGTACCCACGATGCCACTAAAAAACCTGTACCTGGGACGGTGGCCGGACAATAAGTGTCCACATCAATGGCACGAATACCAACTGACGTGATGCAGGGTAACATATTGTATACCGTATGTCCCAACCATTCCCCTGAGTTCAACGTTGAAGTGTCCACATTTTGTCTTTCGCGCTTTGCTTCGTGTGCACCGCTGCTAATTTTGGGTTGGGGGGAGGGACATCGATCTGCTGGGTGCACTTCGCCGTGGCGCTGTCTTGGCGCGATAGGCGTGAACCTGTGTTTTTTTGCAAGACCTGCGCAGTTGGTTCTGAAGTTGGCGCGCGCTGTTTTTACTGTGGACGTCGTCCCGCGCGGGGTGCGCAGTGTGGAATTTCACGCCATTCGGTAAGACTCGCGATCGCACTCGTGCATTACCCGCGAGAAATGTAGAGTCGGGTATCGTAGTCGTTTTGTTGTTGTTGTTGTTTTTGTTTGTTCGTTGTTGTTTTTTTGACTGAGCAAGAAGTTACATTCTCATCAAGAAATGCGACCAGCTAAGTGTGGAATATGATTGCGCACGGATAGTGTACGAACGAGATTATGGGTCTTATCAAGAGCGGAACCCGCGCTCCAGCTATGAACTCGCCTACATTCCGTGAAACGTTTCTCTAGCAAACTGTTTGCCTGATTGTAGATGACCCGAAGCCCCCCGAAGCGCATGCCAGCTCCCCAGACATCGGTCGGCCACTCGGCAGGTGATCGGCAACACCGAGCAGATCCGGAAACTGGCCGGGTGGCTCCGCGACTGGGACGACGTGGTGCTGCGCGGGAAGAAGAAGGAGCAGACAGTGCCCGAGAGCGAGAAGTGGAAAAAGTTCCCGGTGCCCACGGAGGGGTTACAACTCACGACGGGAGTTTTGTTGTTGTTGTTGCTGCTGCTGTTGCTGTTGCTGTTGCTGTTGTTGTTGCTGCTGCTGTTGCTGTTGCTCTTGCTGTTGCTGCTGCTGCTGTTGTTGTTGTTGTTGCTGTTGTTGTTGTTGTTGCTGTTGTTGATGTTGAACTCTCACCGCTGAAGAATAATTATTGTTGACCTCCCTCCTCTGGGGCACATTGTATTTTTCAATCGACGTGCCCTTCCTGGGGCTCGTACCCGGTTTCTTATCAGGGAAAGTCTTGGGTCTCAGAATTGGGTTGTTGGCCATTTCCTCACAATTTATATCAAAATCGTGCTCTCACGCGGAACATCTTCACAATTTATGCAGAAATCGCGCTCTCGCGTGGGGCTTCCTCGCAATTCATTCAGACGCCGCGCCCTCGACTCTCAGGAATCACGCTCTAGCTCTGGCCTTTCTGACGATTTACTTGGGAATCGCGCTCTCGCTCGAGACTCGCGATTCATGCAGGACGCGCGCTTCAGCAACCCGCCTGCTCGACGTGGCCGCCTGGGCCTGCCTTCCCGACCCTCCTGCCCGATCTGCCCATCTGGTTCTGCCACGTGTTTTCTGCTCCTAGCCACCCTCCTGCTACTTTACCTCTCGTGCTCCATCCTCCTCCCTCCTCATTGTCCCTTTTTTCCATCCGCCCTCTCTTCCCCTGCCGTAGGGGCTGCATGAAAAACACGTTGCAGGTCAGAAAGATATACCCCCAAGGGGGTACGATCGAAGACGAAGAGGGCGGGTATCGAGGGTTTCGGATATATGTGTTGAATGGCAAGCGAGCAGATAACAGCCTACAGTCTTAAACTGATTGTTGTTGTTGGTTTGGTTGTTGTTGTTGTAGTTGTTGCTGCTGCTGCTGTTGTTGTCGTCGTTGTTGTTGTCGTTGTCGTTGTTGTTGGTGATGTTGTTGTGATGGTTGCTGTTGCTGTTGCTGTTGCTGTTGCTGTTGCTGTTGTTGTTGTTGTTGTTGTTGTTGTTGTTGTTGTTGTTGTTGTTGTAACTGTTGTTGTTGACTTCCCATGCTAAGAACGATTTTTGTTGCCCCCCCCTCCCGGGCATGTGGTGTTTTTTTGACCGGCATGCCCTTCCTGGGGCTCGTACCTTGTTTTTAATTACCACGGGAGAACGAGGGGTCACCTAATTAGGCCCCTAGCCGCCGAGTTACAACAACAACGGCTCCCGCCTGATACTTCCTCACAATTTATTCCCAAATCGCGCTCTCGCGTGCGACTTCCTCGCAATTTATTCAGACGCCGCGCCCTCGACACTCAGGAATCGCGCTCTCGCTTTGGCCCTTCTCACGATTTACTTCGGAATCGCATTATCGCTCGACCACTCCTCGCGATCCATGCAATATTCACGCTTCAACAGCCCGCCTGCTCGACGTGGCAGCTTGGGCCCGCCTTCCCGACCCGCCCGCTAGTCTCTACCCACCCGATGTGCTCGTCTGGTTCTGCCACGTGTTCTCTGCTCCTAGCCCCCCTCCTGCTAATCCCGTGCTCCATCCTCCTCCCTCCCACTTCCATCCGTCCTCTATTCCCTTGTTTCAGGGGCTGCACCAATTACACGCGGCAGGCAAGGAATATATACCTCCAGGGGGTGCGGTCGAAGACGAAGAGGGCGGGTACCGAGGGTTTGGGATACACGTGTTGAATGGCATGCGAGCAGGTAAGAGCGAACAGTCTTAAACTGATTGTTGTTGTCGTCGTCGTCGTCGTTGTTGTTGATGTTGTCGTTGAATTATTGGTTCCCCCCCCCCTCCGGCGACCACTGTATCTTTTCAATGAAAGTGCTCCTCCCAGGGCTCGCACCTCGTTTTTTGCAAGGGGAAGTCTTGGGGATCAGATTGGGCCCCTGGCCGCCGAGTTACAACAACAACGGCTCCCAAATCGCGCTCCCGCGTGCGACTTCCTTGCAATTTGTGCAGGAATCGTGTTCTCGCATTGGATTTCCTTGCAATTTATTAAGACGCCGCGCCCTCGACGTTCAGGAATCACGCTCTCGCTGTGGCCTTTCTCACGATTTGGGAATCGCGCTATCTCTCTTGAGAATTCCCTGCGATTCATGCAGGACCCACGCTTCAGCAACCCGCCTGCTCGACCTGGCCGCCTGGGCCCGTCTTCCCGACTCGCCTGCTAGGGTCTGCCCGCCCGATCTGCCCATCTGGTTCTGCCGCGTGTTTTTTGCTCCTAGCCACCCTCCTGCTACTCTATCTCGTGCTCCATCCTCCTCCCTCCCCCTTGCCTCTTCCTTCCATCCGCCCTCTCTTCCCCCCACCTTAGGGGCTGCACGACATACGCGTCGCAGGTAAGAAAGATAGACTCCTAAGGGGGATACGATCGAAGACGAAGATGGCGGATATCGAGGATTTTGGATATACGTGTTGAATGGCACGCGATTAGATAAGAGCGAACACTATGAACATGATGGTTGTTGTTGTTGGGCCTGCTTCTCGCTACTTGCATATGTATTTTTTTAGGTATGCATTCATACACGCATGTATGTATGCATGCATGTATGTCGGCATACGTATGTATGTATGTATGCATGCATGTATGTATGTATAAATGTATGCATGTATGTATGTATGTATGTATGTATGTATGTATGTATGTATGTATGTATGTATGTATGTATGCAGGTATGTATATATGTATGTATGCATGTATGTATGTATGTATGTATGTATGTATGTAATGCATGCATGCATGTATATGTATGTATGTATGTATGCATGTATGCATGCATGTATGTATGTATGTATGTATGTATGCATGCATGCATGTATGTATGTATGTATGTATGGATGTATGCATGTATGCATGCATGTATGTATGTATGTATGTATGTACGTAGTATGTATGCATGTATGCATGCATGCATGCATGCATTCATGAATGTACGTATGCATGTATGCATGCATGTATGTATGTATGTATGTATGCGTGCATGTATGCATGCATGTACGTGTCTGTTACGTTTGTATGTAGTTCGGTTTACATGCATGTCATGCATGTCGGCATGTATGCATGTATGTATGTATGCATGTATGCATCTAGGTAGGTGTGCATGCATGTATACATGCATGCATGTACGTATGCATGTATGCCTCTATGCATGCATGTCTGTCTGTCCGTCTGTCTGTATGCATGTATGCATGGTACACACATGCCTATAGCTGCATCTGTATATATATATATATATATATATATATATATATATATTTATATATGTATGTAGCTGTATCTTATTTTCTGCCTTTGTGGGCCCTCGCCCGGGGCCGGGGGTTCCACCAACAAACGACGCAGGATAACAAGCCGGTCCCTCCGAATCGGTCGAGCCTTCCCGGGACCCCCGGCTTGACGCAGTCAGGAGGCAGGCGGGGGCCTGGCTTGTCGCCACCCGACAGGGTGGGGTTGCGGGCATCCTGGAAGTATGTAAGGAGTTGCCATTTGGTGGCTTTTTTTCGGGCTCCGCAGGAGGAGGAGGCGGCGGCGGAGGAGGAGGAGGCGGAGGAGGAGGGTGAGGAGGGGGAGGAGGGGGAAGCGGAGGAGGAGGAGGAGAAGGAGGAGGAGCCAGGAGCCAGGAAGAGCCAGGGGCAGCCAGGAGTCAGGTTTGCCGGGTCGCCGGCCAAAATGCCCGTCGGCCCAGACCCCCGACGTCATGATTTTTTCGTAACGTCGACCCCGAGAGGTCTCGACCCATTCCCCTGGACCAGTTTCTCATCCCGAGTTGTTTTTTGACGGTCCCGAGGCCCGGTGAGGGCTCCCAGAGGCCAACAAAAACACAAAAACCTCCCGTCCTGTCTCTTTCATAGCCCGAGGGGGTCTGGGGGTGGAGCCCCCGTCGAGGGGGGGGGGGGCTGAACAGCGTGTGCGCACGCGCGCGGGAGCAAGAGTTCGGCGTCCGCGGTATCCCTGGGGTGTGCGAACAGCGCGCACGAAGACTGGCTCCCCTATTTTGGCCCAGATCTGCGCGTCCCGCCGCAGGCGCCAAGTGAGGCGTGACAATTCTGTGGGGGGAAGCAAGCTTCTGTTTTTCGGCCAGGGCCCCCGTGAATGCGCGCTGGGTGCTGCGTAACTTTGCGTCCTTCCCCTCCTTGCGTCGTCGAGCCGCCTCTGCGCTTCGTGCTGCCGTCGCAGGTCATGGAGAACATCAACGCCCGCGCAGCTCTCATCAGCGGGCCGCCCGGGATCGGGAAGACTACGACCTGCTCGCTGGTGGCTCGCTGCAGCCCGATGTACAAGCTGATGGAGTACAACGCGTCCGACGCTCGAGGAAGTCTGCAGCTGGAGAGAACTCGCTCCTCGTACCTCTCGCCCCCTTCCCTCTGCCAGGGACGAGGGCAGGACGAGGATGAGGGAGGCAAGGATGATGAAGAAGAGGATGAGGAGGATGAGGGGGAGGATCGAGTGATGATGAAGGAGGGGGTGCCAGTGATGTACATTCTTTTGGGCCCCGCAGGAAAGACCATCATAGAGCAGATGAGCCAGTCGCTCTCAGGGAACCACACCCTGAGGCTAGCCAAAGGCGGTGAGAGTTGCATCGAGCGTGCAGTCATCATCATGGACGAGTGCGATGGCATGTCTGGGGGTGGCGACAAAGGGGGCATGCAGGCCCTGATCAAGATGATCCAGCAGACCAAAAACCCAATCATTTGTATCTGTAACGATCGGGGAGACTCGGAGGTGAGAAAACTTGCGGAGCACTGTCTGGATCTGCGGTTCAAGTCTCCAGACAACGCCGGGGTCGCCAAGCGCATCAAGAACATCCTCCTGGGCGAGGGCAAGAAGGTGGAGATGTCCACCATCGAGTCCATTGTCGAGGCCTGCGGTCAGGATATCCGACAGGTCATCAACCAGGTACAGTTTTTCGGCCTGGGCGGCACTCATGGCCGCGGCTCCCAGAAGGACACATCTGGCTCATTATCGACTTTCGATGCCTGCACCGCTCTTCTCACAAGGGCTGAGCTGGACAAAAGGCCATTGGAGAAGAGGATGGATCTCGTCTATGTGGACGCTGACTTCGTGCCGCTCATGGTTCAGGAGAACTACATGAGATCATGCGAGACTCAGCGAACTGCGTCCGGCGAGGATGAGCTCTCCCGTCTCGCCAAGGCGGCGGACCTCATCGCAACCAGCAACGCCATGATGGGGAAAGGCGGCTGGGAGGTCCAAAATAACGCGCTCGTGATGGGCACTCTCTACCCCTCCTTCCTAACCGCTTCGGACCAGCGGTTTTCAAAGCCGGCGTTCCCCGCGTACATGAAGGGGCTCGGCACCATGAACAAGGGCAGGAGGGCGCTGCAGGACATGCACGGTAAGCTAATGGGGGCCACCACTTGTGGCATCAGGGCACTCGTGACGAGCAGCTACCACGACGTCTTGTACCGCAGGATGGTGAAGCCGCTTCAAGTAGGTGCCATCAAGGAGTGCGCTGCTGCTCTTCTCAGCTACGGCCTCGGTAAGGAGTTCTTTCAGGAGCAAGCTCCTGCTCTCCGGGATCCGCTCAAGCTCGAGGACGGGTACAGAAAGCTGGAGGGCAAGCTGAAATCCGCTTTGACACACGAGATCCATGATATGGACAAGAACCAACAGAAGATCAAAGAGACAAAGCGCAAGCGGGAGCCCGGCTCCGACAGGAAAGCCCGTTCATCGCAGGAGCTGGCTGATGATGGAGCCGACGAGGCTGAAGAGGGCAACGGGGATGGAGATCCAGCGGCGAAACGGAAAAAGGTCAGCGGCAAAGCAAAGGCTAAGGCAAAGAAAGCATGGTCTGCTGACACGTCTAAGGCCAGCCTGGCTGGCTGGAAGGTGGCCAAGCAGGGAACTGATGCCGCTGATGGGTCTGTGACAGACTCCCAGGCACCGAGGAAGCCGATCCTGATCCTCCGGTTCATCGAGGGCCACACGTGCGCAGTGAGGCGCCAGATGCACATCGGTGACGTCGTGGGGCCCTGGATCGGGTTCTAGTGCCTCTGTACCGCAGCTGGGGGTGCAGCTGGCACGCTCCCTGCGTGAGGGGTGCGAGTCCACGAGAGTCGCGGCCGGGGAGCGTGCGCCACGGCAGCCAAAACATAAAAAGGGAGGCATCCGCGGGGAGGCCGGGCCGCTCGGCGGCCACGGGGGGCCAGCAGGAGTTCCGAGGAGGAGAAGGTGCCGGTGTCCGCGGCCCCTCCCAGGGGGCCACATGCGAACCCGACCCCTACCCCCCACGAGTTCTGGGGGGGAGGGCGGGAGCTCTCGAACGACGTGAGCCCCACCCTCCCCCTCAGAAATCGTGGGGGGTAGGGGTAGAGCTCGCATGTGGCCCCCTACCTCCCTCCACGTCGCGGCCGGATTCGCCGCGAAAAATCCTGGTCAGGCCGCGCACCTGGAGAGGTCCAGGCGGTGTCGGTCGCTCTGCAGTTCTCCAGGAGCTCCCATGGGCCCTTGGTGGGTGTGGCCTCTAGTCCCCGCTGGAAGCGGAGGCCCAACAGGGCGTGGGGAGGCTGGGTGGTTTTGGATACGTTCCCGATCCTTGCCCGACGGTCTTTCTGTGGGCCCATCCAGCCGCTCTCGGCTCTCGTGACCGCCGAACGGACGCATGACCGAGGGGGCAGTCCAGTCATACAACCCCATCTGGCGCTTCCCCACTACGGGATCATCTGTCTTGTAAGGACGGCAGCGCAAGGCAGTGCAACTCAAAGAACTTCAGCTAGTCCGTAGCAGAGCAATGACATCCAGCACAATTCAAAGCGTTTCAATGTGGCTCAGAAGAACTTGTCGCAATACGAAGCAATGTAAAACAACACGCAATGCAGAACAATACATCGTAATCAGTGCAATTCAACATCTGCAAACCATGCCAGCTGAGCTGGCACTTGGCGAACAATGGGATGATGAGAAGCAGGAGGAGGAGGAGGAGGAGGAGGAGGGGAGGAGGAGGCGGAGGAGAAGGAGAAGGAGAAGGAGGAGGAGGCACATACTTATGACGCTGATGATGCTGATGATGCCACGGATGATGATGATGATGATGATGATGATGATGATGATGATGATGGTGGTGATGGTGATGATGCTGATGCTGCTGCTGATGATGCTGCTGCTGATGATTATGCTGCAGATGATGATGACGATGCTGATGATGATGATGATGATGATGGTGCTGATGATGATCATCATGAGTAGTAGTAGTAGTATTATCAGTATTAGCAGCATTATTAGTAGTAGTAGTAGTAGTAGTAGTAGTAGTAGTAGTAGTAGTAGTAGTAGTAATCGTAGTAGTAGTAGTAGTAGTAGGAGTAGTAGTAGTAGTAGTAGTAGTAGTAGTAGTAGTCGTAGTCGTTGTCGTCGTCGTAGTCGTGGTCTTAGTTGTAGTCGTAGTCGTAGTCGTAGTCGTAGTAGTCGTAGTAGTAGTAGTAGTAGTAGTAGTAGTAGTAGTAGTAGTAGTAGTAGTAGTAGTAGTATAGTAGTAGTAGTAGTCGTAGTAGTAGTAGTAGTAGTAGTAGTAGTAGTAGTATTAGTAGTAGTAGTAGTAGTAGTAGTAGTAGTAGTAGTAGTAGTAAGTAGTAGTAGTAGTAGTAGTAGTAGTAGTAGTAGTAGTAGTAGTCGTAGTCGTAGTCGTAGTAGTAAAATAGTAGTAGTAGTAGTAGTATAGTAGTATAGTAGTAGTAGTATAGTCGTAGTAGTAGTAGTAGTAGTGTAGTAAGTAGTAGTAGTAGTAGTAAAGTAGTAAGTAGTAGTAGTAGTAGTAGTAGTAGTAGTAGTAGTAGTAGTAGTAGTAGTAGTAATTATCAGAAAACTCCGAAAGTAGTAGTCCTAAATAGTCGTAGTTCGTATTCATAACACATAGACCGTAAATCGTAGTCGTAGTCGTAGTCCTAGTCGTAGTCGTAGTCGTAGTCGTAGTCGTAGTCGTAGTCGTAGTAGTAGTAGTAGTAGTAGTAGTAGTAGTAGTAGTAGTAGTAGTAGTAGTAGTAGTAGTAGTAGTAGTAGTAGTAGTAGTAGTTAGTAGTAGTAGTAGTTAGTAGTAGTAGTAGTTAGTAGTAGTAGTAGTTAGTAGTAGTTAGTAGTAGTAGTAGTAGTTAGTAATAGTAGTAGTAGTAGTA